GACATGTCATTACCAAACACTTTTTCCCAGTCTGTGGCTTCCCTTTTTACCCTGTTGGAGAAGTTTTTGGATGTGCATAGGGATTTGATTCTTAGAAGATCCCATTCATCTATTTTATCTTCTCCTGTTTGTAGGTTTTTCAGGATACTTGGAAGACTGTTTATGTTCTGGATTAGGACTTATAGCATTCTTCCAAGCTTTTCTTTAATGAAAATTATAGTCCTTGGTTTTAGTCCTAGGTCCATGATCCACCTTGAGTTGGTTTTTGTATATGGAGGTGTGGATCTTGTTTGAGTCTTTTACAGATACTTTTTCAATTTTGCCAACACCATTTGTTAAAAAGGCTGTCATTTCCACACTTAACTGATTTCATCTCCTTGTCAAAAATTGGTTGACCATAGATAGATGGGCTGATCTCCGGGTTCTCAATTCTATCCCATTGATCTATGTGTCTCTCATTGTACCAGTAAGTACCATGCTGTCTTAACCATTGTGTGGTGATTTTTAACCCCAGTAGGAAACAGGCCGAGGTCCTTTGCTCAGAGATAGTGCCAGTGGTATCACTTTGAACGTGTCAGCCATCGCTGTCATCTTTGAATTGTTGTTGTTGTTAGTTGCTGTCTAGTTGACTATGAATCATAGCAACCCTATGAACAGTGTATCTGAACCTTGTTCTATCCTGTGCTATCTTCACACTTTCTGACACTCTAGAGCCCATTCCAGCAGTTACCATGCCAATCCACCTGGTCGAGAGTCTTCCTGTCTTTCGCCGACCCTCCACCCTTCCCAGCATCATGTCCCTTTCCAAGGAATAGTCCCTCCTAGCAACATGCCCAGAGTATGTGAGGTACATGAAGCCTAGTAATCCTTGCCTCCAAAGAGCACTCTGGCTGCAGCCTCTAAGCTACAAGTCCCCAGCACAGGACATTTGGTTGCTCTGCAGCGTGTACTCTGCCCTTGTTTCCCTGGGCCTTGACTGAGCGGGTTTGAACTGGTCCAGAGCTCTGCATTGATTATGTTCTTCAAGGAGGCCAACCATTCTTACTCTGTTTTTCCAAATTGTTTTCCATCCGTTAACAGAAACTCATTTCACTACATAATCTCTCAAGTCACTGGGTCAATTTGACTACACATAACTTTTTTTAAATAAAATCACAATGCTCAGCACAGATATCCTTTATAAAAAAATGACATTTTTGAAATGGAACTTTTTCTAAACATCAATGTAGAAATGCAAGTAAAAGCTGGGCAGTGCATCATTCACAGTAACCTAAAAGGAGGAGCAACCCTAGTGCCCACTCAGATGAAAGGGCAGACAGACGTGGTACATCCATACAGTGGATTATTAGCCATCAAAAGAAGTGACTGTCTTTTTTTTTTAAACAGAAACGCCACTCTTTTTTTTTTAAGATAATTTTTATTTATTTATTTATTCTTTTTATGTGTGTACCGTCAAATTGGATCTGACTGCTCCTTCTTCAGCAGAGCATCTCGTGGATTTGAACCACGCACCTCTGGGATTGCAGTGCAGTTTCCTGCCACTAGGCCACCAGAGCTCGCCAAGAAGTGGCTTTCTAAGTGATCCCATGGCCTGGTGGAACCTTGAAAGGATGATGCTGAGTGAAAATAGACAAAAGAGGGCAAATGTTGCCATTTGATGAAATACCTGGAAGAGAGAAATACACAAAGACAGAAAGTGGATTAGTGGTTACCAGGTGCTGGAAGAGGGGCAAATAAGGAGTGATAAAAGGGAAAAAACCATGGGGAAAAAAAGATGTATTCCTTTTAAAATCTAACCACATTATGATAGATGGTGAAGAGATTGAAATTGTTAAGAGCTGTAGTTTACTTGGCTCCACAGTCAACGCTCTTGGTACCAACAGCCAGGAAATCAAGAGAAAAATTGCACTGGGAAAGTCTGCTGTCAGGGACCTCTTCAGAGTACTGCAGAGTAATGATGTCAGTCTGGAGACTAAGGTACATCTGATCCAGGCCATGGTCTTTGCAGTTGCTTGATATGCACCAGAGAGCTGTACAGTGGCTAGAAAGGATAGAAAGAGAATTGACACCTTTGAACTGTGGTGCAGGAAAAGAGTTTTGAATATACCATGGACTGCTAGGTGAACGGACAGGTTTGTCCTGTTGTTGTTATGTGCCATTGAGTCACTTGTGACTCATAGTGACCCTGAAACCTGCTCTATCCTGTGCTAACTTTACTGTCTCTGACACACCTACTCTCATTACCCTAGTCATTGTATCAATCCATCTCTTCGATGGTCTTCCTCTCTTTCTCTTCCTCTCTTTCTCCATCCCTCTGCCCTTCCAAGCATGATATCCCTCTCTAAGGACTGGTCCCTCCTTGCAACATGTCCAAATTATATCAGACAAAGCCTCAGAATCCTTGCCTCCCAGGAGCAGCCTGGCTTCACCCTCTGTAGGACAAACCTATTTGTTATCCTGGAAGTCCATGGTATATTCAACATTCTTCTCCAGCACCACAGCTCACACTAGAGAGGGCATATTGCAAGGAGAGACCAGTCCTTGGAGAGGGACATCATGCTTGGAAGGGTGGAGGGACAGAGAAAGAGAAGGCCATCAATGAGATGGATTGGTTCAGTGACTAGGGTAATGAAGATAGGTGTGCCAGAGACAGTAAAGTTGGTACAGAATAGTGCAGTTTTCAGGGCTATTGTACATAGAGTGACTATGAGTAGCAAGTGACTTGACGGCACATAACAACAATTTTGTTGTTGTTGTTGTTGTTGTATGCTGTTGAATTGGATCCAACTGGCACAGGAGAAGATTGCCCCTCCTTCTCCAATGGAGCATCTGGTGGATTTCAACCATGTACCTTCAGGATTGCAGCATAGCTCCTTGCCACTAAGCCACCAGAGTTCCAATAACAGTGATTCTTAATAACCTCAGAGTCAGTAAGACCCCCATTCAAATGATGCTATGAAATAAAATGTGGCAAAGAAAGCTGAAAGAAAGCAGGCCACAGTTTGTTGAAGTATGCATGAGAGTGGCATCCCCTGGCCATCTGCCTCCTTGTTTGCTGATGGCCCCAGGCTCTTCCCTGGTGTCCTGGGCGCACAGACATGGGGTAAAATTCCCCCTGGCAGCTGGGAGATGTGGCAGGACTTCTGTTTTAGTCTCTTTACTGTTCATATGTTCCAGTTTGTTTTTGCAGTGCGGACATGAATCTTTTCATACTCTGTTGTCTGATACCAAGTGGCTCTGCCTATTATATCAGTATTTTACCTGTGTGCTGACGCTAGCGACAGACGTGATCTCCGGTGTTTTATTTATG